TGCCTGGGTCGAGTTGCATAGAACGTTCACGACTCTTCCCTTTTTCATGTAGCACCTTTTCAAAATTTAGTTTTTGCCATGAGCAAGCAGTAGGACAAAGACAACTGTGTCAGTGTCAGTGTCAGTGTCAGTGTCAGTGTAGCAGAGTGCATCACACTGTCATTCCTGCACGCATGCTGAGCATAGAGAAATACGCGTATCAGCCTCTTCATTATGGAACTGTACCTCAGGAACAGGGTCTCTGATCATCATGTGTCTGCGTCTAGTCACTTGACTAGTCTTCGGTTATCACACGTCTATGCTTCGGTTTTGCCCTTTGGCACAAGGAATTTGAGGATTTTAGCTTATTTTGCGCTGACACTTAGTAGCTCGTTCCATGCCTTCACAGTATAGTGCATTACAGTAAATCCCTACATTGTACAATGTCAGCGGTAGACATTATTTTCAGTCTTTTGACATTTTTGATCAACACCTACCTCTACGCGCCTGCTGCACGAAGCTAGTTACTCTAAGCGACCACATGGAACTGATAGCTCCAGAGGAGATCTACAATTTCTGGAGCCTGCCGATTGTCGGAACTGCCGGTTATGTTCTCGCCTTGCCGTAACTGTCCCAGAGGTGTCATCCAAGCACAATAGGAAGTACTAGATCCTTGTTGCGAACCTTATGCACGGCCTTCACCTTGGCTTCCTTCACTGGATCAAAGAAAGCGTGGGATTGGATGAGCAACGGCTCATTACAAAGTCACAGTCGCTGGCTGCTTTCTCTTGCCCGTGGAGGGCAGTCAGTCATCACTCATTTCTGCGTGGACAACCTTAGCGGAGTTGCAAATCTCTCTCGTTGGTGAACTTAGTTCGTCCATTACATTGATTTTGATGGGAAGTGTGGGGAATTCACATTCAGCTGAAACCTCTGAAACTGATTCCGGTCATCGACGCGTATAAGGTTGTCCACCCAGAAATAGTTTTCAAGAGGAGACTCTATAGAACACACTTGCAATGTAAAAATATGATTTATTTCCTTACTATTTTCCGAAACAATTTTCTAAACCTCACATTTTTTTAGGCGATGTTGATTCGCATAGGACTTCAGGTAGTTATAATTTTAAAAGCACTAGAATAAACGGAAGTCATGTTTTTAGTTCAAATATGTTTTAAATCTACGCTAAAACAAGATTTGTTTACATTGAAAGAATATAAGCAACTTTTCAGCCTTCCCCGAAATTTGCCCATTTCATCACAAAGCAGGTTTGTAATGTGAAAATGAAGAAGTTCCAATGTTTAATTAATGACAATTTTCTTACATAGATGATTGAGATATAAAAAATGGCGGTCACTATGACGTCATGTATGACGTAATCATAAACAATGCTAAAATAATATCTCAGATACCTAGTAGATATAGTTCAAATCTTCTTCTTCAAAAAAATCGTGTGTTTAAATTAAGCGGGAATCAAACGGTTTGTTTATAAATCCAAGATGGCAACCAAAATAAGGGTTTAAGTGGCAAATTTAAAATTCGATTTACAAAGTGAAAACTACCATTCTACGTTTGCTATCACGCATTTTTGTGATGCTTTTTACTCAAAGATTTAGATTATACATGTTTTGTTTGTTCCCCCTAAGTGAGCCATACAACTCCCCTAGCTGACGGAATAATTCCTTTTCTCTTTTACCCAGTCTCCTTTTATCCTTATAAGGTCCTCAAGTGATGGTTTCACGCATTTGTAGAAAAACTCAAAGACAGATATTTCTGTTGGTTTCCGGCGGCCATATTTGTGCCCCTCAAAGGGACACCAATATGGCGTCTGACGGGGTCTCCATACAAAGCGTTTTGGCCGAATATCTCGCAAACGAAATAACGCGCAGACTTGATTCTTGTTGAGGCTTTCATTACATTCAACTTTTTTTCATTTTCTAGATTTTGGCCTTTCTGTATGGAATAGTTTGCATTTTTATCTTCAATGGCGTGACAGTGAATATAGAGAATACTGATTTCCTATAATGGACTACGGAACAGCCGTCCAATCTCTGAACTACGAGATGCCTTTCAATGGTATATATAGTTTACATTAAACGTTTTACTTCAAAGGGGGCTTGCGCGTACATTTTTTTGAAGTTACTGTTGTTTTTGTTTTCTTTTTCTTTATCCTAAGGGGTTTTTGATACTTCTGTATTCCACTGAACGACAAGATAAATATATGCAACGTATTTGTATATTGAAATAGTAAGAAGGAGCCACTTTAACTAAGGTTTCGTTAAAGTATATGGTATTATTTTATTACCGAATGGCCTTGAGATTCCAAAACATTTAAATAACTCACCTAAAGGCGTTATTTTTCAAAAACCTCAGGCGTACATTAATTTACAAACTCACCTGAGAGTGTTATTTGGGAACAAAGATTCTCCTTCCTTACATGTATGTTATGTCTAAAGAGTACAAAACTAAATTGTCACCGAATGGAGCGATAAATATAAAAAAACAGCAATAATTAAGACAAGGATAATTCTTAAAGAATTGCATTTTAAAGTTATTGATGCAACTTTGTGTTAATTTTCTTGCTCTACGATTCACGGCTCGAAATTTGTACCCTCCCGCTGAATGCATTTCTACCTGAAATAAAACATTATTTCGTACAATAGCGGCTTCTAATGTACATTTTTTTTCAATGTTTATTGATAATCACATTAAATAATTACATTTACAATACTCCAAAAACAAAACCAAAAAAAACACTTTAACAAGAGACATTAACAGAGTAAAGCAAAATTAATTGTCAAATTATTACAGGGCTAAAAAAAAGTACAACAGGGCAATGAAATAATACGGAGTTAATACAGTTAACTTAAGTAAGGCGTCAGTGTCCACTTTCTTTTAAAGAATTCTTTGTTGCTGATTTTTTCTTCTGTCTCATATTTAGCGATGATCTTGGCTCTAAATCCTTAAATGTTTGGAAGGATTTGTTTGCTCCTGTAGAGTGACCACGAAACGTTCGCGAAAAAGTATTTCGTTTTTTCGTTTTTGTTTGACAAGGATATTTTTATCTAGTTTGGCTCCCCTCAACATGTATTTGTTGAAAACAGTCACCGAAAAAGACTTTTTAAACACCGTAATTGCTAGCTGTACTCCATCGTGTATAATATAGATTGATGAAAACGGAGGTTTTTGAAAATCGTTGATTACGTCCCGGTGCTGGATACGAGTAAATCGGCACGCACTCCCCATCAAAGACGGTACTACTTTCAGGCACTATTGCGTTTTTTCATACGAATTTGTTCGAAAACGGACAAAATAACTCTCCTCTTACGTTATTCAGACAAAAAGATACGTGTTAACGGGGCCCATGTGCCAAAGGTAGACTGATCTCCGGTAAACATATAAATTGTAGATAAGAGATTTTGGAGTCATCATTGCCTTCCGTCTCGTTCAGCAATACTCGTTAGAAGGTTCCTTTTTCCCGATTGTCCCCAAATCTCCTTTGTATTAGAAGGCACCGTGCTAAAATATGTGGGTTTTCCTTCAGTTCTTATCTATTGAGCCGTGATGGGTAAACTGATCGGAGCAATATCAGAGATTCAAGGATTTAGATATTAGAGATAATCGGTGACAAGCACGGTCGTACTCAGTGCTACTACAGCATTTTCCGGAATTCAATGATTACCACAGTAAGACCAGCTCTTAGTTGGTAAAAGTGAACAAAAGCTACGTTGGACGTACCCCAATAAACAAAACAAGTGAAAAGTTTAACAAAGCGAAACCCTCTTAGCTGAAATATCTTGCTTGTACTTGTTATCAGTTATGCTGAGTATGTGTCATCAATGTGATTTTATTAGGTCGCGTGCCTCTATATCGCAGAGTACACTGCTCTAATACACACTTAACCTTTTTGCACTAAACCCGTTTATAAATATGGACATAGGATCACAGCACAATTCCATTTTTTTCATTGTTTATTGAAGCTGCATAATTCAAAACCGTAAAATACAATAAACACAGAGAGAAACATACAGGAAGGAACTAAATGAAGATTAACTAGGTACAGAAAAGAATACAGTGCGTACAATGGATATTACAATGCAAATTAATCTTACTTTCACACCAAGAAATATCGAGTAAATTGCATGATTAAATTTGTACGAAGTTTGAGGCTCAAGAATCTCAAACGCATAGAGGCTTTCTTTAGCTGGGGTATAAATGCCGCCTCTATCAAGTTCAGATTGATCGAGCGGAAGGAACTTTTCTTAGGGTAATATACCAAATTTTTTAGCTTTATTTTTCAAAGGTACCATTGGCTAACAGGATTCAGTTAGTATAATCAGGCAAGATAAGGCCGGGTACGGAGCAGAAAATAAAACGGGGATAGGAGTTTCGTTTCTGTTTCTTATTCTGTTCTGTTCTGTTTTGTTTTGTTTTGTTTTCTTTGACACTTGTCCTCATTTTGAGAGGCTCCTCCCCCAAATGAACGTTTGAAACAGGCCAGAGTCATGGCTGTTACTGGATATAGTGTAGTTCTTATAGAGTATTACAAAGGCTCATACTGGTCGGAGATTTAGAGAAAAAATATAAACCGCGAGACGCGTGCCACCATAGGAGGTTTCAGATCAGTGCACCCGATTGTAAAAGATAGGCTAGTATTTGCCGTATGTGGCTGCTGTTCCCGGAAAAGCCCTATTAAAAACTAGATGGACTTTATATAATGGAATGTACCTTGTGTGTATTGGAAGACAGGTGGTTTGATTTTAATATTTGGCAAATAACCTCAACGTTTTGTGATTTAAAGGGAACACAAGATACAGACAAACATCTAAAACCATTATAATCAAACTCAGAAACCGTGAATGTCTAAAATGCATCAGGATTCAGTGTTGAATGTGTGGTGACCAATAACAGCAGAGATCAGGACGCACAAGCAGCCGGACCACAAATCACATATTAATTACCGTTAATTACTGCTCGCAGTTTAGTTTTCGCACGCCTGAATGGCTTTTTGCTTGCAATACATTCCATAAATGCTTCTAATGTTCTCTGAATTTTCTCAGTGTCACATCAGAGGGATGACTAACGTCTAGTTTCTTGCAAGGATATGGATACGACATTTCTACGGAGTATAACTAGCTGGATCATTTCAGCTCTTGTGATCTTTGCGTCATTGCGTCAGTCGGGTAATTACCTATTATCAGTTTTTTGTCGATTTGAGTTGCCACTAAAATGTACATAGCTGAAAATATCTTATCATTATTGCTATTATTACTTTTGTTTTTTTTTTTACCTGCGGTGGCAAATCATATGTCTCTAATGTCGTCTGATTTTAGATGCCATCGTATGGATAAATCGGCCATCCAAACCGACCATCATAGTAGAAGGAGTGAACAGCACTGGAGTAAAACTCGAGTGGAACTTCCTTCTGCATTCAGGTGACGTTGTTCAAAGCGTGTTTCTACAAAGACAGAGAAGAGGCAATCCTTTGCCGATCGTCCTTGCGTCCAGGCACTCCAATAACGCGTTTACCTTTCTCAATAGCGTGTTCCTAAAGGAGTACGATGCAAAACTACCAAATACGTTGGTATTAAGAGATGTGAATAACAACAAGGAATACTTTTACTCTATTATTGTAAATTACGTTCGCAACAATATTGTTCAAATCCCTCTTGAAGATCAAGTCGAGGTGATTGTTTATGGTAAGCAAGACCATTCCTTATTTTGGAAATTTATTTAACGCAGGTGATTTTCATGGATTATTTCAGTTTCTTCAATTCGAAAACAAGTAGCCTATATATATTTTTAGTATATTGCAATGCCCTAGAGATACACAGCAAGAACTGGATAAAATTTGATCCCTGTCAGATTGTATTATAGGGCATTCGGATAACGCTCTCATTTGCCCTTAAAAAATTTAGTGTGCGTTTATGGAACATTTTTATCTGACAAGAATCGTAATTGAAATGATACTGTTTCAAAGATTATCGCTAAGCTACCGAATTTAAAGTAATTAACTTGAATAACATGTATATTGTTCTCAATATATTGTTCTTTATTTTGCTTTAAAATATTCAAAAGCTCAATATTTTGCGCCAGAATTTACATTGTAAATGTCAGTCATCAGCCTTACAAGTTCTTCAAGGCTCCCTTGAAATGAGTATCTACCGTGCTACTACCCCGCCAAAACAAAAAAAAAAACTTTTCGAAATTCAGGTTTGAGATTTTTTGATAAAACGATTTTAGCAGTTATGATCAATATCATATTTTTGGACGGGAGAGAACTGGGGTGCCTCGATTAAAGTTTTTTTGTTGTTTTGTCGACGAAACAAGGGTGGGTGTGTGTGCAAGAAGGCGAGCAACTTCCATGTACTCGTGTCAAAGGGTTTTCACCGATCAGTTTATTTTCAGAACGATTTTAGCAAGAATTTATAATATCTGTTAACTTCCACAAACCAATCAGCAAAACTGAGAGATCTGAAAATAGTATTTTGGACCCTTTACGACTACTTTTATTCTATTTGACACATTAAGCCCCGTGCAAACGGACGCAACATTTTTGGATGATATATGTTGCGTCCGATTGCACACCCTTTTGCATGTTATTGCATGTTGTTGCGTGTTGTTGTGAGTTGTATGCCAAAAGTTTGAAACAGGTCAAATGTTAAGCTACGTACAAACGGGCGCAACAACTCCCGACATTGTTGCACCAACAATTGCTGCATTCCTGTTTGTATCGAAAGCATGTTTAGCGTCTTCATTTTTGTCCCCATTCGATCTTCCCCGGCACTTTGAATGCCGCGGATATTCTCGGGGCATTTGATATGTAAATGATTTAAATAGGAACTCTACCTCCCACGGCTAATATCTGCTAATATCTTATTATTTCGAGTCATGTTTCTTTTTATGCGCACTGTATTTCTAAGGCATTCTATACAGCATTAAATATTTAGCAATAATTGGATGAGGATGATTATGATGTGAAGAATTATGTAGATCGAGGAGCCTATTACCGGTGGATAACAGCCTTCCAGATCTGCATAATTCTTCACATCATACGAAAGCAGAATTTAATAATTGGTTCTAACATTTCTTAGTTTTTAGTTCATTTGTGAATATTGCAGCTAGGAAGCCGCGCACGCCAAAGAGGTTGATCTATGGTCTATTGCACATGCAGCCTCTTTTACAGGAAAATATACCATGGATCAACCTCGTTTCCAGGCTAATGTGCCATCGAATCGATTGCATATTGCTCTCATTTTCAAAATTTGGACAACGCCGGTTGGTTATTAAGAATTATCCGGGAGCTTTGTGCCAATCAGTGGGTAGGAATAATTGCGTTAAAGATCATGAACGCAAATTCATTTTTTAAGCAACGTTTTCATCGCCGTCGCGTCGTTAGATCTTTAAGTCCCTCATATCTGCTGATCAACGAGTTACAGAAAAACAGCCATTTTGGAAATAAATAACCGCTAGCCAGTTCTTTAAGGGTGACAAAAGTGTTGGCTGAAGGGCATCCAATTATAAGCCCGGTGGCTTCTCTTGGGCTTCCTCGCCATGAGAGTTTAACGGCGGAAACCGAAGTTTAAACCGTAAGCTGATCTTGCGCGTCATGAGTCCTTTAGGTCTGCGGTACGCGTAAGGGAAACGTAACGCAATGTGACTGTGTGATCGAAATAACCACGTGAATGGGTTTTAAATAGAGGTTTGATATTCCCACGATGAATTAATTCCTATGGCCCAAATGTCTCGCAGCTAGTCTTATTTTCTGTTTATTAATCACAGCTTGATTAAAAGGGACGTCAAATTCCATTATGTGTATCACACACATCCTGCCTTTATTTCCAGCTCCTCCAAGAATAACAAAGGCGCCGGTGTTGGAATCAGAAGTCAGTGTGGGGCAGAAACTGACCCTTACATGCAATGCATCTGGTGACCCAAGGCCAAATATCAAGTGGGCAAAAGATGGAGTAGCGCGAAGCAAGTTTCACGTCTCTGGTTACAAGTTGAATCTCGCTAATGTACAGAGAAAAGATATTGGGTCATACAGATGCATAGCCAGCAATAGATATGGCGTTGCCAGTAGCATATCCATGGTAACCATCTATTGTAAGTAATAACACTCCACATGTATTCTTACCTACATGTAAGGCAGACTATATTAATTTAAGAAATGATAAACGTGCAGCGTGCAGCCATTACGTTACGGATGCCCGCTGGTAGGTTGGTAAGAACTTAAGAAGCCTAAGAGTTGCTAGAGGCGTAGCCGAAAGCAACTCTAGCTTCTTGAAAACGGAAAAGAAAATGCTATGAAAAGTTTTCAAAAGAAAAAAAAAACGGTTTCTCTATTTTCCTAAATAATGTCTAACCAATAGCAAAGCTCAATGGGTCGTGCGCAGTGTAATTGGCTCTTAGTCGTGAATAAATGCCCAGTCTTGAAAGATGTCGGAAACTATGGCTTATGGTATGTTCACCCTGTACCGGATAACATTTGGCCGGCACGAAAACCATACCGGATAGGGCTTCTGTTCACACACAAGAACGGTGATTTTCTGTATTGGAGCGAAGCCACGCCGCGCCGATCCATTAAGTGTAGCGACATATACAGGATAGCTCATTTCTGATGCCACATTTTGGTGCAGTGTAAACAGGTATCTGGATCGTAGCGGATTGGGAGCGGGGACTGGAATCCACTGAGACGGATGTAAATATTCAGGAGTGAGGACAGGGATTTGCGGTTCATCATACCTTCTCGGCCAGCCGCTCCGGCAGGATGTATGTTAAGGACTTGTTCCAGTCACTGTGACGTTGATGCTCATACTATACCGGATAGCATATCCGGCATGTCGTGAGCATAGCCTTAGACATAGCCTTAGCTGTTTTTCATGATTTTTAAATACTGCAATACATTAGGTCCTCCCGGTCAGTGCACAGTCCTTGAAGTTGGAATTGTCATAACAAATGTACAATGGAGGCAGGAGTTAGCAAACCCTCAAACACGTGAATACACGATGTTAAAATCCAATTTGTCAACAGATGTAAGTGGGCCTAATCTTTATTTTTTTTTTGTCATTTTTAAGCTCCTCAACAGAATAACCATCTATGTTGATTTAGTTATCTACATCCATAAATTCAATAAGCTTAGTGTTTGAAGCTTGCATTATCTGGGAATAGCAGAGCTTAATTCATATGCGGGATAAGCCGGGATAGGGGAGCTTTGGGGAAAAGGTCTATTGTAACCACACCTATTATACTATCACTACACCATAGTTTGAAAGACTACCTGTGATCACGAAAGTTGTACGTCTAGAGGTGTGAGGGAGATCACTTCAGGGAAATATCATTTAAAGGGAAGGATCGGCTTTGGACTGGTCCTTATGGCAGACGAACAGTGTAGATCATTCAATTTAAATTTATATTTTTTTTAATTAGGCCTGTCAGTGGTAATGAAGCCTGTAATATTTATTTTGTGCTTTTTGCGCGACTTTTGGGAAATTTGTTGCTAAATATTGCAAGTGCTTTTTAATTTTTCTAACATTGAAGCATAATTTATATGTTGTAGATCGCAAGCATTTACACAACACCCAATAATGCTGATTATCAATTTTACGGAATGACTGCTGTAAATTTCAGGTAAACTTTAATTGTAATTCTTTACAAAATTCACATTTTAAAACACAAGGAATGAAGACCTTCTTTTTACATCTTACGATTTTCATTTTATCCATGATTTTGTTTTCAATTTGTCACGCCAACCTGCTTGCATGGTTAGTTGAAGCATTGTTTTGAAGGCTCTCTTACAGTGTCCAGAACTAAGTAATTATTATGTATTGTCGTGACTGTTGATCGCTTTTTTAAGAGATGGAACTTACTTTATTCAAAACAACCCCATTGCAAAAGATTTTCTCGTCACATATTCACGGAAACGTGGCAGGAAACCCATTGACCACAATGGCTTAAAAGCATTCTTCCCGGCTGAGAGTATCTAAAGTCCTTCGCGTAGGAAAATTATCACTACGTTTATAATAAAAGGTTTTATGTATTGGAAAAAAGGAAAAAAGGTAATGGTACACATGTAGTACGTAAATAATTCACTTCTTTGTTAGACCTGGTTTTGTCGCTGTTGTGCAGCTCAAGTTCCACAAAAACGTTGCCAGTCCTTTGAAGCCCTTGCAAGATGATGTCAGTGATGGTAATCTTGGACCGTTTGAAGTTTCAAAGCAGTTAGATCTCAATCCAAGTATGCGAAACTCAGTTTCTCTACTGCTATTCGAAGTCACGCTTAAATGTACTAACTGATACTATCCAAATACACAATTAAAAAATTTAAGGTCACTAGAAACAGCAACACCATCATTTGAGATTTGTGCTTACGTTCAGCTGTTAAAACAGGGGTGCCTCCTGAATTTTTTATAGTTTAGATGAATTCATCATTCAATGTCAATGCTTTTTTATTTCCGCATACAGATTTTCATAAAGATTCCTGCTTTCAAAGGAGAGCTAATAGCAAAAATGTAGAACTGCAGCAGCCCACCACTTGGAGCCTCCATCTCCATTAATTTCTCGAGTCAACCCTTTCCCGAGTAGACTTATAAATAGAACGGCTTGTTTCCCGCGAAAAGTGTTATATTTCCGTGAGTCTCGTATGTCACAGTGAAAAAATAAAGTTTGATGGAGTCGAACTCAGAAGCCCGTCCTTCGACTGTTTTCCCTTTTTAATATACGTCCATTTTTACCATTTTACAGCCGCTGGGATGAAATAAAAGTTAAGGGCTTGTCTGGGAGATTGAAGCCCTATTTGATGGGCTCCTGAGAACGGTCTTTATAATCATTGTATCCGTTCACGCTTTAATTTTCTTTTCAGAATTTCCGAGCACAGCCAGCACTCTTAAAACGACGAATGATTTTGAAACAGTTCCCTACAGTCCTAAAACAGACCAGTCTGCCGCAGGTATGTGACCTCTTGTTGCTTACGTACTCAACGTCTCCTGTACCATTGGTCAACCTCCTTAATCTTGTGTTTTACCCGTCTCCCAGTCACCAAAGTAACGGTAAACTCCCCGAAATAATTCCGCTCCCACTTATTCTGTTTCGTAAATTTTAGAAACTGCGCTTTACATGCCAAGATCTGATTTTCCCATTATCCAACCAGGATTTTTTCACTTTTTGGATATTCTCAGGAAAAAAGAAGACTGGGCGAGCCTCAGGAAAAAAATAAATAGCAAAAAAAACTCGTCTTCTCCTCTTTCAGTTTCGCCGCGTAAAACCTGGGCGCCCGAATCCCCGGCTAAAGGAAGAAGAGTTGCTTCTACTGCCAGCAACACATGTACAAGTATAAAAAGTGGTGTTGTTGCTTTCGTCGCTGGAACAACAACTTTACTTGCTGTTATTAGAACGGTTTTCAAGTGATCATCGTGGAGTACTTCACTCTTTTTCTGGTTTTGCACTGCTCTCTGTGAATGTTGTTTTACCAAAAGAAATCCTGTAACCGATAAAGCACCGTTATTGGCACATGTATACAAGTCTCTAATTCAGACTACACTTACATCAGATGAAATTATTTGCAATTTGTTTCGCTGCTTAAAATAAAGCTGGCTATGATAATTAACTTGTTAACACCGTCATCGTTGAGAAGTGTAACAGACGATCGTTGAAAAAATATAAAAAGAGGCGATTTTTGAAAAAAAAAAAGACAATGATATAGCATATATCTCCGCTTTAAAAGCTCTCAAATTATTCTAAAAAATGGCAATGTGTTTCCTCACTGGCATACACGAACAAGCGATGGACGTACCTTCCTGCGCAAAATGGTTCTTCTACTTACAGAGATTGTAACCTCACCATACATCCTAGATTACATCAGTCTGTAGACTAGCCTTATGGTTAAACATATTCACTACGTAAAATAAAGTGTCTTTGTCTATTGTGGCTTAAAGAACGAGCCACGCTCTTGCTATTACGGATCAGAAACGCAGTCGATTTCTCTGTCTGCTCATGTGATGCTTTTTGCCACAAAACAAGTCATTTTGTCGGTGCGACAATATTTTACCATCCCTACGACTCCTTAAAAATCTCGAAGCGGACTCTTGACGGACTGATGAGATGTATGTCTGTCGTGCCAAGTTGAGCTTTCCATTACCAATTTTAAATCATATAATTCTACTCGTCTACAGGATTGGACATGATTGCATAAAGGAGGTTAGACGTTTAATATCATTACAGCTAATTTTTAAAGTCTGTGTGGTCAACTCAGTTTTTATGTGTTTAACAATTTTTTTGCAGTTTAGTTAAAACTAACCAACTGAAAAAAGGCAGTGAACAAGTACTTTTATACATAGTCTTTGATAATTATCAATAAACCAATATGGCATATCGTGTTATGCTTGATTATTTCATGATTCACACCTTTTCTTTTGTCATTCAACAACCTTTATTTAACGTACAACAGTAGTCTACTATGTTGGAAATTAAGCCCCGTTGGTGTCTAGCAAAGTCTAACTAGGTCTAGTCAATGACGTCACCTATTGTTATAACCTAGGGAAAAAGTGCCTTCCTCCATATTAATTAAGTGCCTTCCTCCATATATAATTAAGTGGATAGGCGATTCTTGAAAGAACACAATAGGCACAATAGGCTTGCCTCGGCTTGCCTGTGAAGTAACTTGAGCCTGGTTTACGGACCGTCTATTAAAAGGAAAATAGGAATAAGAGGAGCGATCACCTAGCAACGCGAGAAACGGCTTCCTATATCTTATTTAGCGCTAAAACAATGACAAAAAGAGTCAAATGCACAGCGATTTGTAAGGAATGGAAATTAATTAATCTTCATCTTCTTCGCCCATGGAGTACTTGTAAGGTTTGAATTTCTTATGCCGAGTGGACGTTTCCTCAGCCGTTTGGCATGAGCTTTATGATCATCCAAATAATTTACAAATTGAATCCGACGCCTTTTGCGCTTCGGGCCTTGTTGTGATGGGGTTTCTACTGTGGGAGGAGGGGTCAGGAAAGCAGGACTTAAGGGGGGTGGAGGAGTGAGGCTTTCTTTGTCAGGTTTTTGAGAGATAGCCGCTTGTGTTAATTCAGGTGTTACATTAAAGGGGTTGAGGGCAGTGGAGAATGCTGTCGTTGCTGTCGAAGAATCTTGTGTCCTTGATGTTAAGTCTGGAACAGTGCTGATTATTTCTTCCGGTCGTGTTCTTGTATTCAATTGTTCTTTAAAAGACAGGTATCTGTTTTGCAACTGAAAGTATCGTTTACCTTTTTCATCGTCCCGAATATCGTTTCGAGAAAGCACGTCATCCACGTTGCCTTGTATTTTTTGCATAGCTGGAAGAAGCGGGACAGGCGAAAGAGTTTGCTGCTTCAGATATTATAGAAGCTCTTGAGGAATATTTTCTTGAAACCCTGCTTGGTTAAAGCCTTTTTCACTGGGCAGGACGTTTGTTCGAAACCGACAATTATCTTGGGTAGTAGTTTTCAGATCAATCAGAAGATAACCAAAAGGTCTTTTTACAGCCTCTTCGTACTGATTTAAAAAGAAATCCGAATGCCCAGGATACATTTGCTTCGCCAGAGTCAAGATTTGCAATTTGTCTCGTGGATTATTGAATAACACCAAATAATGACTGTTTAGGCCTATTCTGCGGCTACCTTTCCCCTAAGGAAATAGATTCTGCACGATATAAATCACGCTCAGATTGCAATGATGAGAATCACGAGTAAAGAGGTTCACAATTCGCTCGTCTTTACTGGCGTCAATCATCTGATCAACAAACACGATCAAATTCCGTTTGTTCACATCAAAATAGGAATACTGCTCCAAGACCGTAGGAATTCCCTTGACGAATTCAATGTGTGACATGGCGACTAACATTTGTGTATACGCAGGCTGCCATTGTGAATAACACCCAGCGATCCTCTCCGGGGGAGGGAAAATGGTCTCTGAAGCTTGTTGCAATAGAGATCGAACCCAGGCCGTTTTTCCGGACCCAGTCATTCCTGCAATCATGGAGGTGAAAGGATGCTTGAAGCGAAACCGCTGACATTTCTGTGAAAACACTGGAACTGTTTGAAATGGGGTGAGACCAGCATTGCGGTGTTTAGAAATCACGTGCCTTTGCATACTATCTTTTCTACTAAAGGATTTTTCGCAGACAGAACAGAACCAACTCATGTCAATTCCTCAGGACCAAAATGTAGACTGAGAAAGAGGTAGAATGTTGCGCATTTATATAGGTTTTCAGGCCATAAAATTCTATTGTTTTCCTCCCCCAAGACCATTACCACCAAAATTCAATTGTTTTCCCCTTCACTTCAAAGGTTTCTTTCCACCGCCGCCACATTTCAATTGTTTCCCTCCACCATCACCACATTTCTATTGTTTTCCTTCCACCACCACCACCGCCACCATATTTCTGTTGTTTTCCCTCCACCACCACCACCGCCACCACACTTCTGTTGTTTTGTTTTCACCACCACCACCACCACCACATTTCTATTGTTTTCCTCCACCACCTCAACAAGGCCCGAAGCGTAAAAGGCGTCGGATTCAATTTGTAAATTATTTGGATGATCATAAAGCTCACGCCAAACGGCTGAGGAAACGTCCACTCGGCATAAGAAATTCAAACCTTACAAGTACTCCATGGGCGAAGAAGATGAAGATTAATTAATTTCCATTCCTTACAAATCACTGTGCATTTGACTCTTTATGTCATTGTTTTTAATAAAGTTTTTAAAAGGGTATCTCGTGTCTGATTTTATTGCTACCAATTATTAGTCGCGTGTTTTAATTGATCCTTGTTAAGTTATTTGTTTTATAATAATGCGTCAAGGTGATCCCTTGGGTCTTTCCTGTAAGGCTAATTTGTATTCAGCTTTGGGCTTGTGAGCTCGCATAATTACCGGACTAACGGCGCGTGAAACGTTGAGACTTAAATAGTTTTTCATTTGCTCGAGATGGAACGGAGAAAACGTCAGACAAAATTGAAATAGAGAGTTTTCAGCTCCACTTTGTGTATGTTTATATATATCCGAGTTTTAGCACTAAATAAGATATAGGAAGCCGTTTCTCGCGTTGCTAGGTGATCGCTTCTCTCATTCCTATTTCCTTTTAATAGACGATCCGTAAACCAGGCTCAAGTTACTTCACGGGCAAGCCCAGGCAAGCCTATTGTGCCTATTGTGTTCTTTCAAGAATCGACTATCCACTTAATTATATATGGAGGAAGGCACTTTTTCCCTAGGTTATAACAATAGGTGACGTCATTGAGTAGACCTAGCTAGACCTTGCTAGACACCAACGGCGCTTAATTTCCAACACAGTAGACTACTTACAACCCTGTTGAATATTGAACAAACTGAAAGTCCCGGGAGGGCTTGATAACGTAGCAGGGAAGAGCGGGGCCAATGAATTGAATTCATAAATTAGGAATTTACCTGTATGAATCCCTCGACTGAGGGATTTTATACAAATAAAGCCAAAAACGAAAAAAATAATGGAAATTTATTGCCGTAAAAGTTCTCGTTGCCGTTAATTGCAATTCAACTTTGCTGTTTCTGACGGGCAGGGGTATTTTGCAAAACGCAGAATGCAGATTGCGATTGTTCTCAGTGGATTAGAAAACCGGACGACATAAATTCCTCTTCTAGACCAGTTTAAACTTCGACGACGAACTTGCTGAGCCAATATTTAAGTTCGCCCTTGTCAGTGATATTCAAAATCGCAGGATTGACTTGGGGAACTGTCTCACTGTCTCCAACGATAAAATCGTTGTGTTCCAATTCAGACCAGACACGGACTGCCCACGATGTGTTTAATAATTCCGTGTATTTTGCGGTATTCAAGATGCCTTCCTCTTTTCAAATTCTTCCTCGCCAACGATAGAAATCATTCTACGGTCTGCTGAAGCATTCCATGGATCTGTCTGTCCTCACCATGGTAAAATTAGGTTCCCATGCTCCTTGCAAAAAACAATTTTGTGTCGGAAAAAGCCCTTCCACGTCGCTGTCCATGAACTCCATGATAACATGAAAGCATGGACCGAGCAACTGCATCAAACACCCCGATAAAATGCTCAAAACAACAGAACAAAGAAACCCGAAAAACAACGCAAAATTCCCTGAGGACGCCACAAAACGTCTCTCAAAACCTTGTCAAAGTCTCACAATTTTGTAACTTTCATTGTTTTTATTTTTTTCAAATTCGATGAAGGTGTGAGCGTGCACGCGCGTGGCTAGTGCTTTGTTCTCTTGAACAAAAGATCTTAATTATTGAATAATGGGAAAACAGCTACAGAAAATTTGGTTCAATTTTTATAACATTAACACAGACACATGTGTTTTCAATTTTATAAAGATCTTTCCGGAATAATATCATGAAATAGGTTTGATACGTTCCGTGGCATTTGCCCGACTGAAGTATATGACCAAATAATGAGTTTGAAAGTAGACAAGTCGGCATTAGATATTCCAAGAAGATGCATAAAATACACAGCAAACCATATACATGGGGCATTAAGTATGGTTTTCAATCAATCTCTATTGCAAGGAATATTTCCGACCTATCTCTACACCCTCTGTACTAACCCAAATTTTCGAAAAAATCATTTGTGAACATCTTGTTAATTACTTGGAAAAGCATGAAATCCTATACGAGTTCCAATCTGGCTTTAGAAAGGGACATTCAACCTTGCAAGCCATTGCAGAAATTGCCGATAATTTACGTAATGCGATAGATGACAATTTGTATTCCTGTGGCGTGGTTTTGGACTTTTCCAAGGCGTTTGATACGGTGAACCAGACAATTTTACTTAAAAAAATGGAACGGTACGGGATACGCGGCGTGCCTCTTCAATCAATCAATAATTTATTTACCCACGTAAACGCCTAAGAGCACAAGTGCTCGTTCAAAATACGCACGTGCATTAAAACTTCAATTGTAATAAAAATCTAGTATAAAAATAATAATAATAATAATAATAATAATAATAATAATAATAAAATATATATATATACAATCTGTAATCTATGTACACATGAATATAAAAAATTATAAAAATTCCCAAAAAAAAATTAATCAAAAATGTACAAAATTACAGCTGAGTCGAACTTAGCTTAGACTTAAAAATATTAACATTATCGGCCAGCTTGACATCTTTTGGAAGTTTGTTCCATAGTTGAGCGCACTTGTATGTAAAAGAGTTCCTCATAAAATTAAGATTAAATTTGGGAACGCAAAGATTAACACCATTTCCTCTTAAATTGTAAGACGTCTCTCTTATGTTACAAAAGTCTCTCATGTATTTAGGCCCTATATTCCTAATGCATTTAAATAATAAGATCAGAGATTGCTGCTTTTTCCTACACTCTAAAGTGTCAAACTTACATTTAGTATATACACACGCAGTGATCTTGGTAATTCAAGCAATCTGATTGGTTAGCTATCTCGGACTATGACGTTATATTCACCGCGCTAGGCGGTGAATATAAAGCCGAGCAAAATCGCTGTCGTGAACTGGGTGTTTTGCCAAAGTGTCAAAGTAAAACCTGTTTGAAAATACACGAATATCCAAGTGCTGATGACTTTGAAGGCAAGAAAAGAATTCATGGTGTTTAAACAGCGTGATTTATTGTGAAGTGGTTTACTTTAGCTGACTTTTTGTACGCTCGAAGCTATGTTTACCACTACAGAGGAAAACGAGGTCGCTTTGTCACTGTTTTGTGATTTCGGGATTTTCTCGCAAGACCAATTTTGCCTATAAATAGAGGTTAATTTATGGAGAAGAGAGGAAGGCAAATATTTTCGAAAATTGTACGTGCCAGCAAGTTAACAAGGCAAAGAACTTTGGAGATAAACAACGCTTACCTTGATCGCAGCCGCTGTTGACAGCATTTGCAAGAAGCGACGAAGAAAACTTTCTCATTCACGGTGAGTTGACAGAAACAAATAAAGCTCTAGATACTTTTCTTCTCAGAATTGGGTAGTAATTTAAATTTTCGGCGTTTTCTTTTAAACCGTTGATGCTAAAGCTTACAAAACTCGATACAAAAGGATTAAAACTATCATTTGCCATGTTTGAAGATACTGTAAAGATCTAACTTTTGCGCATCCACTGTTTACGGCTTCGTGTTCACGCATGAATTTTCACCCGTCAATCAAACTAATGGTTTTTTAATGGTTTCCTTTCTGATTCTGTTGAGATCACTTCGTGTGAATATACTAAAACAATTATTCACCTCAGGCTCAGTTAATATTGTTGAATAATCCCCTCGACTTCGTCTCGGGGATTATTCAACAATATTAACTTCGCCTTCGGCGAATAATTGTTAAATATTCAAGAGTTCTTGGTAGGGCAATGGTTTCCCGTGCCCTGTCAGAGTTCTTAATATATAATGATTGGCGTCTTCAATTTTATTGGCCTGGACTTTCTCCACCCCTAACAGGAGGGGACAACAGTATTCTAGATGTGGTAAAATGAAAGACTTGTATAATGCTAGCATAACGTCCATAGGTACAAAATGCCTAATTCTCCTAAGTACGCCGGTCTTCGCATACGCCTTTTTTAGCTGACTGGAAATATGCTCTATAAAAATTAACATGCTATCAAGTTCCACGCCCAAGATTCTGATAGAGGGAAGTTTAGTAACGCCAGAACCATTCATAGTTAAGTCAAAATCGTACTTGCAGGGACCGATCGGAAGGGCTTGCGTCTTGGCATTGTTTATCAATAAACAGTTTGCATCGAACCACTCCGACAGGCGGCTGAGACCCCCGGTTCACAAAAAATGGTAGGGCAATGGGAGAGACATCTGATGCATACAACGTCGTGTCCTCAGCGTATAATCTCAAAGACACGTCCGGGACCGCATAATTCAAGTCATTAATGAATATATTAAACAACAGGGGCCCGAGGAGGGACCCCTGTGGAAGCCCCGCCCTCAACTCTGAATAACTCGAGCACACAGCGTGCAAACACACCCTCTGTTTACGACCCAGTAGATAGGATGAAATCAAACTCATGGCGAATTGAGAGAGACCGTAAGCTTTCAACTTTGCCAACAGAAGATTGTGATTAATAGAGTTAAAAGCCTTTGATAGATCAACGGCCACGGCCATGGCTGACTCTCTGTTGTCAAGGCTCCTTCTCCAATCCTCGGTCATTTTCAGAATAGCGGTGCAACACGAATGGTTCTTTAGAAATCCAGAGAGGTTTTGTGACAAGTGGCGACAAGAAAGTGTTATAAAGTTGATCGTACATAATTTTCTCATAGACCTTTGACAACGCCGTAAGGACCGACACAGGGCGATAGTTCTCTTTTCGCGTGTCCTCATCCTTCTTGAACACGGGTGTCTAATTGCCGCACTTCCATTCGTCTGGCCAAGAGCGATTAGCAATCAAAAAGTTGATCAAGTGTGTAATCTCCTCGGCCATGACTGGTGCCGAGAGCCTCAAAAGACATGGTGAAATGCCGTCGGCGCCCACCGCCTTTCGTGGATTTAAATTATCTAGAATCTCTTTCACATAACTTGAGCTTACTGGTTCAAAGGTGAATGGGTGTTCCATGACGCAATTCCAACAACACTCAGATGGTCACTGAAATCCTCCACGCTGCCGCGGTGGATTTCAGGTACAGCAACTGACGCAAAGTACCTATTGAACACCCCCACCACTTCACTGGGCTCCGTCAGAACTTTGCCATCCTCTACTAATGTCACGCTGTTCTGTTTGGACAGGGACGAATTAGGGAGTAATGGCTTCATTTTTTCCAGAACTCCCCAGGGTGTTTCGCATTAGATGTTGCATTACTACAAAATTCCTTGATACTCTTTCTCTTTAGCGAGGTGACTTTGTTTCGCTGTTGCTTATAAAAACCCAGAGATTGTTAGTTGGGTTCTTCCTGTAACGTTTAAATAGCCGATTGCGCCGGGCAATTTCGTGTTGAATTTCAAGTGAGATCCAGGGTAACTGATCACTGCGCACCCATTTTTTCTTGACCGGCGCATGCCGGTCAAGAATGTTCTTATAGAGAGCGCTCCGTGCAGTGAATCCAGATATCGCCCACGTCCGAGAAACAATACGCCGTGCCCCAAGGGGCGTTTTTTAACTCGGTCAAGAATTCCGCGTTGTCAAAGTTCTTGATGCTGCGATATTCAATTAAGCATGGCTTTAAGCGAGGAAGTTTATTTTTCCTAACAACAAAGACCAGATCGTGATCCCTTAAACCAAGCTGCAAATTACCCGGATTTTATGTAGCGTTCTGCATGACTGACCAGAATAACATCAAGTAAGCTCTTTGTTCTATCTGTTACCCGTGTGGGCTCCGTTATTTTTTTTTAAGAAGCAAAACCGATGACAAAAATCAACTAGATTTTTATTAGGAAGTCGATTTTCGACAAAGTTCGTGTACATATCTTGGTTAAAATCCCCAATGAAAAGGAGTTCCTTTCGGGTTTTATACATCAGTTCGGCTGCGCTGGACATCGAAGCCATAAATTCTAACTCATTGCATTTGCCTGGCGATCTGTAGCAGCCGCGTACAAGAAAGCGGCTATTGTTGACGTCCTTGACATCCAAACATATCGATTCCACGTCCCTAGGTTCAAGTTTAGCTCTTCGGTACACAGACAAATCAGCTCTGAGCTGAGACATTATCTAGCTCTTCTATAAATGAAACAAATCTACTACAGCTTAATATACCTGTATATCTCTTCTGCAATATTAGCATGGGGGAATGCATACAAAACACATATTGATAAGATACAAGCTGAGCAAAATCATTCTGCTAGGCTTATTTTCTTTGCCACCACTTATGGTGAACACACAGTAAGTGCACTTCCCCTGCTAAATTTATTAGACGTTCTTACGGTACATAATGTTTATCGATTTCAGATTCTAAAATTCTCGTACCTCTGGTATAAAGGCCTCCTGCCAAAGCTGTTCTCAAACTATTTTCAATATGTCAGTAATGTCCACAAATACAATACCAGATATGCATCGAAACACTAATACGGGGAAACAAACAATCGGACACCGTCTGGGACAAAATTCCCTTAACTCTTAAAGAACTAAACACATACCAATTCCAAAAACAATTGAAACCTTATTTGCTGTCAGAACAACATAGTTAACATAACTTAAGCATATACTCTTTCTTTCTTAATACATTGTATTGTAAAACTACTTCTTTGGAAATAAATTACAATACCATACAATACAAATTCTATTGTCAACTCCCCATAGTGGCTTTTCAGAGACAAATATTAATAGTACAGGTAATCAAAAAAAAGAAAAAAAACACTCAAGAATTTTCAATAAACAATTATTAAGAAACTATTTGTATATAGCATTTATGACATCATAAATTGATCATCAATAAGCTATCAAGAAACTATTTACATATAAATTTATGACAAAAATTGATTTAAAAGGAGGGCTTTCATTTTACGTTTGAAAATGTTAAGAGATTCGCTTAATTCAAAATGGGGTTTTAACGCATTCCACAATGTTACAGTTCTGTAATAAAGAGATCTCTGTCCCGACTTGGTTTTAAAAAGCGATATATTAAGCTGGGAAGATGATCTGGTCGTCCGACCACTGATATTCCCTCTGGAGATAAAATTTGAACTGAGGTAGTTTGATACCCGACCTGTCATAGATTTAAAGGCCAAGATGGCGTCTCTTAGATACAGGTGGGACTTAACTGGTATCCATCTCAGGTCTTTCAGGGCTGGAGATACGTGATCAAACTTCCTTGTCCCAGAAACTATGCGAGCAGCGAAATTCTGTACTCCTTGTAGTTTGCGTATATTGCTGGCAGAAGTATTCGACCAGACGGACGAGCAGTAATACAACTTACTAAACACGAGAGAATTAATTATTGTAACAAGTATGTCTTTTTTAAATATATGTTTAACTCGGCTAATTTGTCCTAGGGCAGACATACAAGATGATGCTTTTTTAATCATGTGGTCGTTGAATGAGAGTTTACTACCGAACACTACACCCAGGTCCTTAACAGAGTCGACGGGTAAAAGTTCTTTACCCAAGAGGGTAAGGCGAAAATCCTGAAGTTTCGATATCATTTGCCGACTTCCATATACAATCAGTTTAGTCTTGTCCGGTTTCAGGAGTAGCCTATTATTAAAACACAAATTACGTAGTTTAATACGATCATCGTTCATCACGGCCATAGTCGGTTCACAGTCCTGCACTTGGAATGACATAAGCAATTTAGTGTCATCAACGTAGTAGTCCGTGGAACAGTGTTGTGAGATTGATGGCAAGTCATTGGTGTAAGCCGTGAAGAGTAACGGACCGAGGATGCTTCCTTGGGGAACACCGTAACTCATTAGCAGGGGTTCGGAAAGAGCAGTATTTACACGCATAGCTTGGTACCTGTTTGACAAGTAGCTCTTGAACCACAGGATGGCAGAGGGTGACAAGCCAATATCTTGTAATTTTTTAAGCAGAATATCGTGGTTGACACTGTCGAAATGCTTTGCTCATATCAAGGAGAACTGCAGCTGATGTTTTCTTTTGGTCAATTGCGTTGAGAATGCGATCAGAAGTGTAGATCAGTGAAGTCTCGGTGGAATGCCACTTTTTATTACCACTTTGATGGGCGGAGAGACGATCGTTCTCTACCAAGTAGGGCATAAGTTGATTTAATGCGATACGCGCGCATAGTTTTGAAAGAACAGGTAATAGGGATATAGGGCGGTAGTTATTTGGCTTTTCGTGATCGCCTTCTTTCAACACGGGGATCACTTCAGCTGCTTTCCACTCAATTGGAAAGGTATTACTTGCGACGGACTCGTTAATTATGGACGTCACGGATGGCAAAATAGCAGGAAGGCCATGCTTGATCACTCAAATGCTAATTTTGTCAATCCCCGGGCTTTGTACATTCTATCTCAATTCTCTAAAACTTTAAATTCTGGAGAACTGGCTAGAAAACCTTAGGATTATTTCAGCTCCAGGCCTTATTAAGTACAAATAAAGATATATATATATATATATTTTTTCTTTCATGTATGTAATTAAGTACAGGGCGAATAAAGGTATTGTTGTCGTATAAATATCTCGAACGTCGGTATTAATCAGTGGCGGATTTAGGGGAGGGGTCCGGCCCGGTCCCCCCTTATTTTTAGACCAAATTGAGGCCCGAAGGGCCGTTAAATTTTGCTTTTGAGACGTGTTAGGAAAAATTGTATTGCGTGACTTTTAACGTGACATTCTAGAAGCTTGGCGTGAGTTCGTAGTTTGTGTGTTTTAGGATCTTACGTAAGCGTTTCTAAAGCGGTATAATTCGTAATCTTTCTATAATTATACTATTTGGAAAGTTCTAGAATCCTATTGTAAACTTATATAAGTAGGCTAGCTCGAGTTAAGTTTTAACTAGTTTTCACAAGCGAGGAGAGGCCGTGTAAGTTTGACGAGTTACGTGCTGTTGTAGAGTTTTACTCAGTGGAAACTACGTTCATTTTTGGAATGTCTTCTTGTTGCCGTTCCGACAACCCTGCGTTCAGTTTGGTTTGCAAGCTACTCGTCCTCTAAGAGATTACCCGCGTAACATTGGGGGCCTGTCCGGGAGAGGAATTGAATTGTTTGCCGACTACAGTAACCAGGAAAGGACAGTTCAAGAAAAAGGAGTATACAGGGAAGTGAGAAGAACTGTTACGAGGAAGTATATAGAGTGTGTTTGCTGTGAACTGAGAAAATGGATAAGTTTATACAGATTGGAGAAAAGATTGGTAGGAGAAAAACTGCTCGAGTTTGAGCGGGAGCAACAAAAGTTAGAAGAAGAAATAAGGAGGAAAGAAGAAGAAAAAGAAGAAAAACGTCGAAAACTTGAGGAAGAAAGAAGGAGGGAAGAAGAAGAAAAGGAAGAAAAACGTAGATAATTAGAAGAGGAAAAAGAAGAGTCACGTCGAAAACTTGAGGAAGAAAGAAGGAGGGAAAAGAAAGAGAAAGAAGAAAAACGTAGGCAGATAGAAGAAGAAAAGGAAGAGAGACGTCGAATACTTGAGGAAGACAGAAGGAAGGAAGAAGAAGAGAAAGAGGAAAGACGTAGAAGGGAAGACGACGAAAGAGAAACTAGGCGGCAAGAGCGCGAACTGAGAAAATTAGAGCTGGAAGCAGACCTGTTGAAACAGAAACAGGCTATTGAAGCCGCTAAGAGAGAGCATGAACTAGAGCTCGCTCGTCTAGCACAAGGCCGTAACGATACCGAACGTGCTGAAGTGAGAGAGGATGGGCCAAGGCACCCAAGCTTCACTCAATTTGTTGATGGCAGGAACGACTTGGATGCTTACCTACAACGATTTGAGAGATTTGCAACTACAGCCAAATGGGAGAAGACAGGGTGGGCGTCGAAACTTAGTGCTCTTTTGTCTGGACGTGCCCTAGAAGTTTATTCGCGATTATCTGAGGAGGCTGCCCAAGATTACTAACGAGTGAAGTTAGCTTTGATGAAGAGATATGACCTTACAGAAGACGGCTATCGTCGTAAATTTAGAGCATCAAAGCCAGAAGTTGACGAGAGCCCTGAACAGTTTATAGTGAGACTGGATAGATACTTGTTGCGTTGGTTAGAACTGTCGAAAACTGAACGTTCTTTTAAAGCTCTGAAAGATTTAATTGTGAAAGAACAGTTTTTTGACTCTTGTCTAAAAGAGTTAGCTATTCACCTTCGCGAAAGAGCCCCGGAAACGCTTATTCAGATAGCAAAGATTGCCGATCAGTACTTAGAAGCACACGGAAAGCATCCGTTCAGCTCTGCGAGCAAGAAGCCACAAGTACAGCCCAAGGCGGAGGAAACAAAGACTACACAGAGTGACGTAACAACCCTCCAGTCTTACAAGTGTAATGTTCGCGGACACAAAGCTTTTAACTGCCCAACTCTAGTTAAAAGGTGTTTCCAGTGTGGCAAGCAAGGTCACGAAGCGAGGAACTGTCGATCAGGAGGACGAAAGTCAGGAGGCCAAGGTAAGGATGGTAACCCTGTGCAACGTGGTCAAGTTAGTGCTGGCTGTTTTGTTAAGTCACCCGGTTTTAAAGCTACCTCCGAGGAAGTCAAGTCGTGTATTCAAGATGATCAGCTTCTGTTAGCCTGTGGCAAGAAAGTCCCGTTGCTGAGTAATGCCTGTGTTGAACCCTTAATTGGAGTAAGAACTAAGATGCCTGTTGTAAAGGGTAGAGTGGGAGAGAAGACTGTTGACGTTTTAAGAGATACCGGTTGCAGCGGAGTAGTAGTCAAGAAGGACCTTGTCGGCGAGGATCAGTTCACCGGAGACTTAAACGTTATGTTGCTCATTGACAACACTGCAAGAAAGGTGCCCATAGCAAGAATATATGTCGATACGCCTTATCTTACGGGTCACGTAGAAGCGCAGTGCCTTTCAGATCCTATCTACGACCTTATTATTGGCAAGGTACCTGATGCCAGGGACGCACAAAATCCAGATCCCAGTTGGCAAGAGGCCTGTGCAGTAACTACAAGAAGTCAAGCTAAGAAAAAGGATCGATGAACGCACAGCCTTGAAGGTGCCAAGTAGCCGTGAGAACCCTATTGTGGATAGAGAGAAGCTCAAGCAGATGCAGGGTGAAGATGAGAGTCTGCGCAAGTACTGGGATCGAGACGATGCACTAGTAAAGGGTCAAGCAGAGATTTCATTTGAAGAAAAATGTGGAGTACTGACCGTCTGTACAAGCGCCCTTATGTGAATGGTGGAAAACCGCTTAAACAAGTCATGGTACCTGAAAAGTTGAGAAGCCCCATAATGGAAGTAGCTCACGGATCGATCATGGGCGGTCACATGGGCATCAAGAAAACAACAGACAAGATCCAGAGTGCGTTTTATTGGCCTGGAATTCAAGGTGACGTGACTCGGTTTTGCAAGTCCTGTGACGTTTGTCAGAAGACTGTAGGTAAGGGATCAGTGCCGAAGGTACCGTTAGAGAAGATGCCGCTGATTGACAAGCCCTTTAAGAGAGTAGCAATAGACCTTGTTGGGGCTATCAGTCCTCCGAGTGAAGAAGGACACAGGTACATATTGACGCTGGTAGATTTTTCGACTCGCTACCCTGAGGCTGTACCACTAAAGAACATTGATACGGAGACAGTAGCAGAGGCATTGGTGGATATCTTTAGCCGTCTAGGAGTACCTGAAGAGATCCTGAGTGATCTGGGCACACAATTTGTTTCTGATTGCATGAGAGAAGTTACTCGACTACTAAGCAGCTTACAACAACACCCTATCACCCGATGAGTAACGGATTGACGGAGAAGTTCAACGGAACGATGAGGTCTATGCTGAAGAGACTGTGTAGTGAGCAGCCAAGACAGTGGCATCGCTACATGAATCCACTGTTGTTTGCTTATCGTGAGGTCCCACAAGAGTCCACTGTTTTTTCACCCTTTGAGCTGTTAGAGGACCAATGACTATACTCAAACAGCTATGGACGAAGGAAGTTGAGAAGCCTGAAGTAAAGAACAGTTACCAGTACGTTTTTTAGTTGCGAGAGAAGTTGGAAGATACCCTTAAGCTCGCCCATAGTGAATTGGAGAAAGCCCAGCCGAAAGGAAAGCACTATTGCGACCGCAAGTCTAAGGTTAGGAAGTTTCAACCAGGTGAGAAAGTGCTTGTGATGCTACCTACCGACCACAACAAGTTACTTTTGCAGTGGAAAGGTCCCTTTGAAGTTAGTTCAGTAGTAGGTCTCAATGACTACAATGTGAAAGTAAAAGGAAAGGAGAAAGTTTATCATGCTAACCTACTTAAAAAGTATTTTGAGCGAGAGGAGACTACAGTCGAAGGAGCAGTAGCTGTTGGAGCAGGCGCTACGAGTATAGACGATGCTGTCGACTGTGAAGCTAAAGTTAATGAAGCAGAGAAAGAAGAAGTTGATTTCTTAGAGCTTGGTGGATACGTGGCCAAGGAGTCAATCGAGGACGTTAAAACTGGACCAAATCTTACGGCCGAGCAACAAACTGAATTTAAGGATCTGGCTAACCAGTTCACGAATTTGTTTACTGAAGCACCAGGTACCACCGATCTCGTTCAGCATCATATTAAACTCACCTCAGACGAGCCAGTTAGATCAAGACCTTACCCAGTACCTTACAGCATGAGAGAATCACTGAGGAAAGATATAGCTGACATGATCAAAATGGGAGTTATTAGAGAGTCCAGTTCTCCGTATGCGTCAAATGTTGTAGTAGTGAAGAAAAAAGACAACACAAACCGCGTGTGTGTAGATTATCGGAAATCAAATAAACTAATTGTATTTGATCCTGAGCCTATGCCAACTGCTGAACACTTGTTCCAGAAGCTTAGTGGAGACAAGTTCTTTTCAAAAATTGACCTTAACAAGGGATACTGGCAGATAGCTATACCAGAGGAGGACATTCCGAAAACTGCGTTCGTAACACCTGACGGGTCGTTCGAGTTCTTGAAGATGCCGTTTGGAAAGATTAACTCGGCGGCAACACTGAAGTGTGCAATCAAGAAATTGATAGAAGATCTAGATGATGTCGACTTCTACTGGGAAGATAGATTGGTTCACACCCGTACGTGGGAAGAACATATTAGAGCCCTCAGAGAGCTGTGTTCGCGCCTTGCACAAGCTAGGTTGACTATCAGACCTACGAAGTGCCTATTCGGAGTAAACAGTGTGGATTTCCTAGGCCATCGATTGGAGCAAGGAATAATTGGTCTACATCAGGATAACGTGGAGAAAATTAAAGATGCCCCAAGGCCAAGCACAAAGAAACAGGTGGGTCATTTATGGGTCTAGCAGGATACTACAGAGATTTCATTCCCAACTTCGCAGCGATCGCAGCACCCTTATCTGATCTCACACGGAAAGGCCAACCCAATAAAGTTGAGTGGAGTGGAGCACAAGAGAAAGCCTACCAAACAATCAAGTCCTACCTAACAAGTGAACCTATTCTACGCCTCCCCGATCCAGCTAAAACCAATTTCTTACGGACGGACGCTTCCAACAATGGAATCGGTGCAGTATTGATGCAAAGGCAGGAAGAGAAATTATTCCCGGTTTGTTATGCAAGCAAGAAATTGGCAAGTGCGGAGCGCAACTATTCTACGATTGAGAAAGAGTGCCTAGCAGTAGTCTGGGTATCAAGAGATTTCACCTATATTTGTACGGTGTACCTTTTGTGCTGCAGACAGACCACGAGCCGCTAAAGTACATGAACAGTGCAAAATACACCAACGCACGACTAATGCGATGGGCCATGTTTCTACAAAGTCACAATTTCAAGGTGGAAGGCATCAAAGGATCAGAGAATGTTGGAGCGGATTATCTTAATCGAGTAGAAGAGTAACCTGAGAGACACTGGACTACCCCTGTAGTACATTAGCTAACAATTTTTCTGTTGTATTGGAAATTTAGAAAATTTCTTCTGAAAGGTGGTTATGTTACGAAAAATTGTATTGCGTGACTTTTAACGTGACATTTTAGAAGCTTGGTGAGAGTTCGCAGTTTGTGTATTTTAGGATCTTATGTAAGCGTTTCTAAAACGGTATATTTCTTAATCTAAAATTATACTATTTGGAAAGTTCTAGAATCTTATTTTAAACGTTTATAAGTAGGCTAGCTAGAGTTAAGTTTTAACTAGTTTTCACCAGCGAGATGTAGAAACAGTCATCACGCGCAGCTAGCTATGGTCGAAATAAGGCCTAGGTAAGCAACGACCAGGTTGGGGCGGGGGGCGACTCCAATAGCGCCCGGTATTTGTTTCGTATAATTATGATCCACCGATTTATGACATCACATCCGGTTTCAAAGTTGCTGCTCTGTTTTCGCGCGAAGCACCATGATGGACGCCCTATGCATTTGGTTTCTTCGTTATTTTAACCCACAGGCTAACGGAATTATGTATCTTGAAAGCCAAGAATATTGAAAAGGTATATAGCCGGCCTTTCAAGCAAATTTCGTGACCAAACAAAGAAGTTTTAGTATTATTTTAACGATAAATATCATGCAGCTGCGGGGAATGTCACGGCGAGTCTTGCAATGTTTCAAAACGAGTGTCGTTAACGTTTTGCGGCTGTTGCGACCTCTGATTGAGAGAAGTCATCAATCAAAATATAATTTCCTGGACGGAATAAAATGGGGAAAACGCCGATGGCCATAGTTTAAAGTGTTCGCCGCTGGTAGGCTGTATCACGGCCCGTAAAGTTGCAGAAACTTCCACTTAACTGCATGGTTTTGAGGAATGTCATGGCGAGTCTTTTGGTGTTTGTAATCGAGCGTCACTCAAGAGTTTGGCTTTTGCGGCTTCTGATTCATCGAAGTCATCAATCTAAAATTGCCTATCCTTAGCGGAATGGAATGGGAAAAACGCCGATGGTCACAGTTTAGAGTGTCAACTGCTTGAAGGCGTTATCACTCGACGTAAAGTCGGTGAAAGCTCTACCCAACTGTC